CAAACTTGTGTCCTTGGCTTCCAGGCATCTTCCCAGTGGGAGTTTCATAATATTACAACTTTTTAAAGCCAAAAGGTAAGGGAGAAAGTTATATATTTTTAGTTATTTTTTTTGTAATGATTTTCCTGAGGAGGGGAATGTAAATTCATGATGCCCTTCAAGTGCAAAATTTGACATTTATTGTAATTGAGGAATCCCATTTGTCTTACATCCAATGCCATTTCCTATAGAAGTGTGAAAGTTTGCTCCAAGACAAGAAGCATAGAAAATAGATCTCAGATGTGCTGTCACCCCTCCTGTGCTGCCAGAATATGCTTGTACAGAGGGCTAATCGGACCCTATAGCATGTCTTTTAACCTGCTGAGGGTGCTAACCATTCTGACCTGACAGGAGTGGGCCATCACTTAGAGCTGCCCTTTTTCTTTCTATACCTCTCAAGGAAGAAAAAACAAATCTAGTGTGGAAGTGAAAGTGTATTTGCATATATTTAAAATTATTCGTATCTGGGAGGCAAATGGAAAGAACAAAAGACAGGAGGAAAACTTGTATTTCTTTTTTCATTTTTCAGGAGTGCAGACTATGGAATTCTTATGCCTATGATGCCTCTTTTGCTCATTCTCCTTTGCTGGTTCTTTCTCAGCTTCTACAACCTCTAAATTTTGCAATGCATTGGGCCTCGATGTTCTCTCATCTCTTCTCCTCTCCCCACATCCTCCCTTAGTGTTTCCTGGCTTGAAAGACCTTTAAGGTAACAATTTCCAAATTTGTTTCCACCACAGACCTCTTTTCTCAATGCTAACTCTCCAACTAACATGGCCACCTGCATGTCTAACTGGCACTTCAACTTAACACTTCCAAAATGGAAGACCTGATTCCTCCTCAAATCTGGCCTTTTTCCTCATTTACTCATATACTCATGTCAGTAAATGGTGTCTACATTATTTTTGTTATTCAGGTCAAAAATCTTGAGGTCATCTTGACTTCTCTTTTACCTACATCCAATTCATCAGAAAATCTAATTGGTTGTATTTCAAATATATGGATAATGGTCCCTCCATTTCCATTACCCTGGTCTAAGCCCAACATCCACTGTAGGCTGGAAGTAGTCTCCATGACAACCACCTCTAATGAGTCTCTCTTGTTATAATAATACTAGAGGCCGGGTGCATGGATTGGTGCACCAGTAGGGTCCCTTCGCATAGCTTGCAGCGGTTGGGCCGAAGCCGGTAGTCCAACGCCATCTGTGGCTCCTGCCTGCTGCTCCAGCTCATCCCAACCCCACTGTGCCTGCTGCCACCGCCACTGGATAGGCTTGCTGCAGTCTCTGGGCTGCGGTGGCCAGCTGTGAGCCCTGCATCTGGCACCTGTCTGTCAGCTGAGTGGCGCTCCTGCTGTGGGAATGCACTGACACCAGGGGGCAGCTTCTGCGTTGAGCATCCGCACATCATAGCAACCGGTTGTTCAGTTGTTCAGTCGTTCGGTCGCTTAGACTGTTATACATATAGATAACAACTATAATACACTGAATAATTTTTAATGTGCAAGATTTTTGCCTTAGAGATATACAGCCTTGCAAATCATGAAAGCTGTGCAATTCATTCCCATCACATTTTATAGATGAGAAAACTGAGGCTCAGAAACGTGAGTAGTTTGTGACCCAGGTTTTCTGTAATACAGCTCCAATTTAAACAGATTGAGCAGACTCCAAAACCAATTTTACATAATATTCCACCTGTGTTGTCCCGCCCAGAGGATCGTCTATATTGATGGGAATCTGGAACCATGTAGGAGAGGATAAAACCACTGTGGTAGGTGCATTAGGTATGGATGTTTGGGCCTTGTCATATCACAACATTAAAGTTATGTCACTTAAGTGCTTTTCTACTTAGTCTACAACTAGGACCAGAACAAAAGCTCATATTAAAAAAAAAAATTCAAAAATTATTTTTGGAGTATGTATGAATATGGTCAAAGAAAAAGATCATAAGAGTGAGCTGAAACTAATAGATATAATATTACAGAAAAGATTATATCTGAGATTTATTAAACTTATATTGAGCTGTTACTTAAAAAAAAAAGATAGCAAGCCAAATGGATTGAGGCATACATGAAAAAAAAAAATCTCTAAAAGACTGAAAAGAAAGGTATAATAAAATAGGTAAGAAAAAAATAATAATCCCCTTCCCCAGAAAAACTGCATTGTAAAATAAAATTCCTTAACTACAGCTTTTGAGCAATGATTTTTTACTGGTTTTTCCTTAGACATAATTCAATAACTTCAAATAGAATATTTGAAAGCTCTCCACATATATTGTACTACTACTTTTTAATAATTTATAATGCATAATATTTATCATTATTGTAAAAACATATTTTGAGAGTTTTTCATCATTCATATTTCTTTTCATTCATCCATTCTTATTGAACTAAATAATGTAAATTACCAAGAGTAAGTCTTCCTATACTACCAAGTGCCTTACAGTAATAATTTGGAGAACACGGAACACATGTTCCTTTCTACCACCACATGTGTTTCTGTTTGTGTTGTGCTCCACAAAGAACCAAATATTGTCCTGCCCAGAGGGGTGGGGCAGGGGTGTTCCTGCTGAAGACTGCTCTGTGTAGGAAGAGAAAAGACTGATGCTACAGGCCCTCCAAAGGAATTCACTTAAGCTTCATACCAGATTTGAGAGGGCTGGTTTTACCTGCCTAAAGTTGGAACATGCAAGACACCATTCAAGCAATCTCTAGGTTGGGGATACAAGTTCTACCTTGTGATTCCAGTGTAGCTTTGACCAATGTCTCTTAGCAACCGCCCACCTCACAATGTAAAGCATTGAGACACGCCTCAGTATGTGGATGAGGTCCCAGAGAGGTGAATTTTTACCTTCTACTCTTCCAAAGTTTATGCTTTGATCCCAGATTTACCTTCCTTTATGAATAAATGAAAAAGAGAGGGGGGAGGAGGAAGAAGTAGGAGGAGGAGGAGAAGGATGGGAGGAATAGGAAGGAAGGAAGGAAGGGAGGAAGGAAAGATGTTTCTTGACCTTGAAGAGATTGAACCTCCAGTGTCAGGAAATTTGGAAGGCATATTCTCCAGGGTACTTATTTTATTTCTGGTAGTGTGCTGGGGTCCAGCCCCAGTGGGTCCAGGGGTTCCCAAAGGTGTGGACGGAGTCGGCGAAGAATGAATGACACGAAGGCAGTGTTCAGGTGATCATTATAGCCAGGTTCCTCTTCCTTTTATTGTCATCTAACATCTGTATATATACTATTTGGTCCCAATCCTATCCATTCTATACAAAAGGCTAGGGGGCTTCCCAACTCCATTCAAAGGTTACTCTATTGTTCCACTAAGCTACAAGGAAGTAACTGAAGGAGGTCACTCCAAGCAAAGATCAAAGCGACCAACCACCCCTCTGACACTCAGTTAAAGGGTTTACTGATAAAAATCCTCACCTGGGGAAACAACCTTTCTTCTCCTAGCCAGGTTCCTTCCCCTCTTGTCCTCTTACATCTGCATTTATCCTATTTGATCTTAATCCCATCCATTCCATTCCAAAGGCTAGGGCATTTCTCATCTCCATTTCAAGGTTACTTGAAACATCCCTGCAGAGACTGCCTCAAGCAGCCAGGGTGGATCGGCTTCCAGCAGTGGTAAATAAAGCCCTTAGGGAAGGTTATTGATTTATCTGGCCTATTTAATATATTGAATTACACTATTTCATACTCTAGTGGCCTGAAAAAGTTAATTTACCATTTGAATGGCATGAATGATGAATACTTACACCAAGTCCTGGCACTTTACAATACCGAACAAAGATTTAGTATTTTTTTTTTTACTTAGGTGTGCTTTGTTGTTTATTAGTGTCAATGGAAAATAAAAATAAAGTAATGCTCTGTTGAAGGATAGCATGACAATTGCTGGCTCAGGTGTCATCTCAGTGTGAAAGAGGCCTTAACATAGGGCCCTGGTCCTCAGGGAAGAAGAGACTATCAGAAAGGAAGAGGAAAGAGATGGTACCAAATCCTTGGCTTAATGTGCTCCTCTCCTTTTAGCTGGGTACATTAATAGTCTATCCCATGACCTCTCTATCAAGACTTTATGAACTGCCATGTGGAGGCTAGCATGGGATTCCGAAAATTAACAGTTGATTTTTGTTCCTCTGGACATATGGGCTGCTTGGGGCACTAAAATGGTGTGGAAAAAATGTATCATAATTTGTATAATTTAAGCAATGGGGAGGAAGGACCAGACCTCTGAACTGCATTTCATATGTAAATGCAGTTTACATATGGGCCTTGTGGATGTCCAAGAAATAGAACTTCTCGACTGAGGGGCCACGCTTCCACACACTGACCTTGCGAGAGGAATATAGATCAGACTGAACACAGCTGTACCCTTTAGTTATTTTGGAGGCAAATTTATTAACCTCAAAAGGTAAGACTGGGTGCTGCTTTCTGTCTTTGAAAGCTATGAGGATGCCTTTGTGTTCCAGAAAATGCTTGGATCAGATTCCACTTCTCCATAAAAGAGGAGGTGTGATGAAATAGAGACAGGCAAAAAAGCATTCTTCTTATTTTTACAGATCCAGTAGAGTGAATGAATTAAATAAATAAGTAAAAATACAATGGATCAATGAATAAATAAAGATATAAATGACATTTCTAAAGTAGCTCTTGGGGAGTCCAAACTCCCAGATAGCCAACAAATGATACATGCAAATAGAGGGCTTGTAAATTGTCAAATGCCTGAGGTTAACCACAGCACTGCTTGGCGCTAGTCCCTCCAAGAGACCGGCAATTGGCTGCAGGAAAGTTGGAATTCCAGAGCACATTTGACTCTCTGCTTCTCCCTCAGAGTCTAGCAGGCTTCTCCCTGGGCTGCCTGCAGGCCTGTAGGACACATCTGACTTACCGGCGGCGTGCATTCTCTCCCTGCTCCCTGGCTACCTGTTTACTCCCCCAGGCGGAGGGACAGGGACAGTCAGGCGCGACCCAGCAGGTGGAGCGGCTGAGCTGGCCCCAGGGCAGCCCCAATATGAATCTCAGTGTGGGTGTGGGGCAATTTGGGTGGGAACAACCTGGAGACTACCACCTCGCCGTCCTGCGCCTGGCTGGTGGGGTGTGTGCAGAAAGAGCAGAAATAAATAGGAGGCTCCCTCCTCCCAGCGACTCTCAGGGATTCGGAGGCCGCCGCCCTGGGTGTTTGCCTGCCCTGTAGCCAGGGTTCCAGCCTGAAGAGTAGTTTCGTTTCCTTCTGGCTCCAGGATTAGTTTCCAGGCACCTCCTCGGACGCCCCGTGGCCTGGAAAAGGGACGCAGGAGGAGGCGGGAGGCTCGTCTAGGGGCTGCCCGCCCTGCAGCGCGGGGTTGATGGAGCTGACCGCCCCGGGCAGCGGCGCCGGCTCCCTGCCGCTGCTCCTGGCCCTGGGTAAGTGGCCGCACTGGGTGCTGGAGACCCAGGAGGAAAGCCGGGGTGGAGTCGCAGGGAGAGCGAACTCTGATCTGAGCTGGCATCTGGACCCAGGGCGGCGTGGGGCTGACAGGGGCAGGTCAGGGAACTTGGGCCGCTGGGAGAGTGCGACGTTTTAAGGGCCTGGCAATGGGGCACCTGCTGGGGCTGTCCCTGGGCGCGCGGGGCTGCGAGAGGGCGGAAGGGATCCCGGGCCCAGCGGCTGGTGCTGCAGCTGTGGGCGCAGAGCGGAGGACCGGGGTTGCTAGGCAGGGTGCCCTCAAAACCTTGGGGGGGCTCCGTAGGGGGCTCCGTGCTCATGAGTGAGAATTGGTGGGAGGAAAAGCAGGAGCATTGGGGAGGAAGAGAAAGATATCCCGGGAGTAGTTGGAAAGAGAATTCCTTGGCTTAAGATGCGGGCTGGGAGTGCAGGGCAAGGTGGATGGGTCTTTCCTTGGTGTGTGTGCCAGAGGTAAGAGAGAGATTACTCCTGGGGAGACTCGAGCTGGCCTAGGCTTGGGATTGAATTCTTACACCTGTTTCTTGCTGGAGCAGTGGGGGGAGCTGGAGGAGAAAAGGCAACTTCTGAGAGCCGATCTCCTGTTGCTGATGGGGCAGCAAAGAAAAAGGAAATGACGTGTTCCCCCTAGGGCGCTGTCCATGAAACGCACAGGTGCTTTACTGGGGATGTAGTCAGGTGCTGCTTAGACCGGGATGCGCATTCTAAGGAGTTGTTAGGGGATTTCACCATCGTGTGAACACCATGGAGTGTACTTCCACTAACTCAGAAGGTATAGCCTAATGCACACCAGGCCCTATGGTATAGCCTAGTGCTCCTAGGTCCCAAGCCTATACGTGTTACTGTACAAAGCAACATGAAATTAAATCAAGCACAAGAGAAAAGCATGCAATCAAGGCACTTGGTAAACAAAGATGTATGAGACTGCTGCTAGTGTAACAAAGCATACTGCTTTACAGGACACTTGTTTTTAAGGAGTAGAAAGATGCAGTCTAAAATAACAATAAAAAGTGTAGCATAGGTAATACATAAACTAGTAACAGTCACTTCTCATCATCTTCAAGTGATCTGTACTGTACATAATTGTATTGCTATACATTTATAAGACTCGCAGCACACTAGGTTTGCTTACGCCAGCATCACCATACACCGGTGAGTAATGTGTTGCTCTATGACATCATGCTGGCTACGAAGTCATTGGGTGATAGGAATTTTTCAGCTTCATTATAGTCTTTGGGGACCAACAATCCTAGATGTGGTCCGTTGTTGGCCAAACCTCCTTAGGCAGCATGTGACTGTATATTCTTTATTTTAAGGAGAAATTGCAGGAGGGAAAACTTTTCTTCATTTCAAAGGTTTAATCTGGGTTGTTAGGTTAAGGCCCACTGGGTGTGGTCACGTGGTGTGAGGGAAGAGAGGGCAGAGGCCGGTGGGAGGAGTTCCAGGATGCCCAGAAACCCCTGGAGGCTGTCCCCACTGCCTTGGGAGTCGGTGCTGGCAGACAGGAACCTGGAACTTCAGGTGCTGGGGGAGGTGTATGCAGCTGGAAACCAGGCTCCCTTGGCCATCCCGTGTGATAAGGTAGCATGAAAACCCACCACTTTAGGGCATCCCATCGACATCACGGTCATTTTGAGGGGGGTGGAGAGAAGGAAAACTAGTATTTTGCAGGCTTAGCTGGGATGTGGGGCAGGGACACCTGGGCTTGGGGCATTTATGTGGGAGAGGAGAGTCTTCACAGCTAAAGTGTCTACAGCTTCAAGCCTAGGAAGGGCTGGGATTTCTCTTACGGAGGGAAAAGAAATGGAACCTAAATGGAAACTTTCATGTGGCTGTTCCTTAGAGTCAGAGAGGTGGCTAAAAAGGTTTGTGACCTTGGCTGGAAGTGGACAGACCATGGTTAGAGAGAAGGAACTGATTTAACAAATCCTGCAGAGGAGGAAGAAGTCAGGAACAGGTTAGTGGTGGAGTGATGTGGAGCCTCCAAGAAGAGCAATGGGTCTGAGAGTTACGCCCAGGACCAGTGCTGATGCGATGCCAGTTCTGGATGAAGGTGGAACTTTCTCCTTACAACTCATATGGACTGTCCAACACTCAAAGTATTTACTGAGCATCTGCTCCAGTCAGTAAGGCGAGAGTATATGGAAATGGGAGAGGGATGAGGGCTCAAGAAACTCCAAGATGTAATTTCGAAGGCATGATTTCTGCTCTAAAAGATGTTCTGTTGAATTGGGGATACACGACTAACAGATATGACACAATAAGAGAAAAATTCATGAAACCAGGAAGGGAGAGCTACCTCCACCAGAGCTTCAACAGTGGAGGGCGGGGTAGTGGGGAACAGCTGCATGGAGGACACGAGTGGGTGCCTTGAAGCTTGGGTAGCATTTGAAATAGTAGAGAAAGGATGCCAATGATATACAAGGGCTGGTGATGGAAATAAGATTGTTTTCCTGGAGAGAGAGTCAGTCAGCATGCCAGAAAGTAGAATTTATGAGAGGCAGACGGATGACGAAGAGCCAAAAAAAGCTACATTAAAATATTTGGACATGAATCAATAAACAGTTAAACACACACCATCACAGGTCTTGAATACGGAATGATATAATGCAAACAAAGATTCAAGGAGGTAAACTGGTCAGTGGGGTGTAGTGTGGGAGCAGGGGCAGAGGTGCTGGGGGCCAGAGACCTGATTGTCTCACAGCTGTGATCCAGGCATGAGCTAATTCAGGCCTTAAATTAGGGTGATGTGCCCAGCGAAATGTTATGGTAGAAATTATTATTCCAGATTAATGGATATTCTTCCCCCTTTACTATCACACAGTGCTTTATCTTTTTTCTCAAACCCTGTTAAAAAGCAGAAAAACCCTAACCTAGTGTTATTGTACACTCAGAGAAATCTAAATGTACAACTGCCCTGTTGAATGTTTGGCTTAGGGAATTGAACTCTTTAGATCCCCTAAAGCTCCACTCGCTGCAAAATGCCAAAGGCTGTCTTTTGTTGGCATCAGCGTTCACAGAAAGTGGTCCTTTTTCTCTCTTGCTCACTGTACTTTTAAGTCACATGTTATTGTACTTACTTTTTGAAAGGAATGTGAGCAATGTACTGTGTGATGCACTAGCCAGTGTGTGTGTGTGTGTGTGTGTGTGTGTGTGAGTGAAAAGTACCTTGAGAACTGGCAATGAGCAGGCATGAGACCTGGTTCTACTCTGCTATTCCATGACTCAGAGATGCCTGCAAGTTATAAATTTCTGGGCCTTGATTTTCTCATTTGCAAAATGAAGCAGTTGCTTTAGATGAGACTAAAGTTCTTACCAACTTGACATTGCAGTGATCTGTAACCAACACTTTCATGGGGAAATTTAAGAGAAAATCTTTTTACAATATCACTTAACTTCCATTTCCTATGTAATGGGGTCTCTGTTTCAGGCAAACGTTATCATCACAGAGATAATCATGGATGCTTGATTCTTGGAGAAATATGGTAAAGGGGCAATAACTTTCTTTAAAGTGGGTTTTTTATCTTAAAAAAAAATTGAGTCATTCTCTGCAATTCTTCTTTTTTTTTTTTAGTTTCTCCCTCACATCCACTTGCTATGTAACACTAACACTGAAATTATAACCAATGAAAAAGGGGAAAAACTTTTCTTTTGAAAAAAATGAGTGTGTTTTAAGGTAAAAAATATGTTCTCCTTATTAAAATCTAAAATGTTAATATTTTCAAGTTGGTTTTAAGTTCTGCTAGAAAACATGAATGTATTCATGATTGTAATATCTAGCTTTGAAGTTATAAAGCAGAAGGTGGCAGCAGGTAAAATTCCCATTGTACAAATGATGTAACTGAAGCCCCAAACACTGGAAGATTTTAGGATTTGCCTCTTCAGACATGATTTTGACTTAAAAGAGAATTGGAGTTTTTGCATGTGTTTTTTTTCCACTTGAAAAACCTCAGGTTTCACAGGCCACATTTGCATATTAACAACTGTTACAAAATCAGTTTTTGCCATTACATGATTCTCTCTTGTGGTGTGGAAATGCCCAAATAATTCTGGGAGAGCCCAATACTGCAGGCATACCCCATGATGCCCCTGCTGAAGCTTGGCCTGCCAATGCCTGTGCCAAAATGGAAGGTGCAGAGGACAGAGGATACTTATGTCTCTCCCAGGGGCACAAGCTTCTGGCACTGCCTCATCTCTGTGGGGATTGTTCACCCCAGTACTCCTGTGCCCCTTAAGTCCACAGAGAGGCTGGAGGGAAATATATCACCCTTTAATTGTAGTCAGCTCATGCCAGGATGTAGACATGAATACCCATGAATCATGCTCGTAAGCATCTCCGTAAGGATCAGTGTCTTTCTAGGAGGGTCCAGACAAGCCGGAATCAGGGCTGTGTGTAGTTTAGGCTGAAGCCATGATCATGATGCACTTCCAAATGGCTTGGACAGACCCCTGGGTCCACAAAGAATCTGAAGTCCAGTTGGTCAGGAGTGCTTCAGACTACAACTTAAGAGGAAAGCCATCTGATGGAAATGGGTATGCTCTTACTGCTAATGGCTGCTAGCTTTCCCAGGCATATTTGTATCTTGAAAAGGGAATCTTGGTAGCTCAAATGAATTTCTAATTGCTAAATAAGATAAGTTTTTAGATGGTTGACAGAGATGGAGTATTTAATCTTAGGTCACATCAATTAGGTAATAAGCTACTTTGATTATCAGCAAAGCTAAGTCAAATAGCTATGAAATACTTTTACTTATTATTTACATTTTTTTGAGAATATGTAGTATATTATTTACCTGACTTGTAGACTAGAAACATTAATTCCAAAACAGTGACAAAAATTTGAACAATGTTTGTGTTCAGCCTTATTGCCTTATTTCAATTTGACTGAGTTGGTTGAGTTACTAATGTAACATTTCCCTCTTTGGAAAACCACAGGTTTATTAATTCATTTAGCCTTATT